GGGGGGGGGGGGGAGAAGCAGCTTCTCCCCACCCTGTGCCCGGTGCCCCGCCCTGAAGCCGCTTGCAGTCTGTCTGGGGCTGCCTGTGCCTGCTCTAGACAGCCCCACGCGGGCTGTGAGTGGCTGCAGTGTGGGGTGCCAGCCACAGGGCAGCGGAGGGTCCACTTTCCTCCGTACCAGGAAGGAGCCTGGGGAAAAGCTGAGCATGGGGAAAAGTGGCCCCTCCTCCACCTCATGGCTGGTGCTCCCTGCTACAGCCACTTGCAGCCCATGGGGCTGTCCAGAGCAGGCACAGGCAGCCCCCAGGTAGGCTGCGAGGGCTGCAGTGCAGGGCACTAGCCACGGGGCGGGCGAGGGGCTGCTTCCTCCCACCCCACTCAGCTTTTCCCCAGGCCCCTGCCCTCCTCCCTCTTCGCCCTTACCTGTGGTTCTGGTGCAGGACAGCCATGAGATCTCAGGCCAGAAGCCCCTGCTGGGGCTTCCAGCTGGGGGGGGCAGGGCCAGGCAGGCCCTGCTGTTATGGGAGTCAGCCGGGCTTCCCCTGGGTCCCACTGTCCTTGGTTCCTGTCACTTTTTACAGGAACCAAGGGCAGATGAATATTAATTTTCTAAATTTTTTAGGGGCCCTGTGAGCTGGATAGAATGGCCTCACGGGCTGGATCTGGCCTGTGGGCCATATTTTGCCCACCCCTGCTCTATGGGATTAGGTATACTTTTCAAATGCTGCACTGTTCCAGTGGGAGTTTAGAGAGGCATATGCTTCCAAGAGGAAGGTAAAACATGTCGCAACCCTAAATACAGTGATGGAAAAGCATGACCACTAGCAAGGGTGCAGTGTCCACTCCCCCCATTCAATGCCTAGAGAGCATCCTTTTTATAACCCCCTCAGTTAACTTTGTAGCATGTTAATTAAACATCTTGGGGAAACCTCAGAAATGACACTGGAGATCTGGGCCAGCAGATCTAAATACCTACATTTCTTAAACCAATTTTATATAAAAAATAAAATGCAAACTATATTTAAAAAAAAAGAGAAAAATTCACTCACCTTCACCAATTCAGCATAACCAGTTTCCTTTGCTGTCCACCAAGGCTGAGCTTTTAGTCCCTTCACATTGTAGAGGGAGCGCTGCCAAACAGATGCAAAGTGACCTCTTTGGTATCCAAGCTCATACCATTTGTATGCCTAAAAAAGTTGCAATTGTTAACAAACAAGCTTCAACAGAAAGGAACAATTTATCAACTT